CAGAGAGGCAGGCAGAGAGAGAGGAAGGGAAGCAGGCTCCCTGCTGAGCAGAGAGCCCGATGCAGGACTCGATCCCAGGACCCCGGGATCATGACCCGAGCTGAAGGCAGTGGCTTAACCCACTGAGCCACCCAGGCGCCCTCTCCAAGGTAATTCTAAACAGACGCAAGGAGCTCTGGCTATGTGATTTGGACTTTGGGTGTTTCCTAGAACCTCCCTCAGCCTTTCTCCCTCCCTGGGGTGGCTCTTGCAATGCCCCCAAGGGGACACAGTTTGAAGTTTTTAAAGGTAAGGAAACAGTCTCATGATCTGATGTATCTTGCTCTCTCTGGCACTGTCAACCTTACTGGTACTGATCAGACAAAGTAGGAAGCCACCAACCAGCCACCTCGACTCCAGCCCAAAGGCCAGGATCCTTGGGAACTGTTTCTGATTATAAAAATAGTAATGCAGTAAAGTACAAAGAAGCAAGAATAAACCCGTAGCCTCACAATATGACTGTGTATCAAAAGGTTATCTTAGAAAATCCTAAGTTGACAAATTTCTCTGTTGTCCAGAAAAGCATAGTCTTTGAGGGAGAAGGCCCTGAGGGAAGTGTGGAGGAAGATCTGAGGCCTGATACATCCGGATTTGCTGAGTGGAGGACTTGGTAGCCTTTGGGCTGTGGTGAAATACGAGGGTGGGACAGAGAAGGTAGCGGCTGGTTCAGCCACAAGGACGTGAAGGCTACCAGATCAATTTCTTATTCATTAGTTTAGCTAGCATTTGTTGAAGCATTTACTGTTACGTATTAAGCAAAGATGCCAGTATGAGACCCAGTCCCTTCCCTCAAAACACTTCTCATGTGGTAAGACTTGCTGTGCCATGGACTATGGACTGCACAGTAGATGGAAGTGAAGGTCAGTGCAGTGTAAGCAGACTGGGAGAAATGAAGATGGGTTGTCCCAGCTAGAAGATTGGGGAAGGTACGGGTCTGAGCCATATTTCACATTTCAGCCAGGTAGGTTTTGAAGGAATAGAGACCTGTAAGGGGATTAAAAATAGGAGACAATTCTGTCTGAAGGGAAGAGCAAGCAGATGCTGGGTGTGTCCTCGTTGATGGAACCTTCCATTTGAATTGAAGCTGTTGGTTATATTTGTCATAATGACCTTACAAATGTCCATGGGGACGCGTGAGCTCTTGATTCAGCGAATTGCCCTAATGAGTACTTGCCGATGTGCCTGTCTTTCCCCTCAAGGCCAGGCCAGGTCTCATTTTTCCCATCTCCAATGCCCAGCACCATGTTCCTGCCAATCTGGCTACTGAGATGAAGGTTCCTGACAAGGAGGGGGAAGGAAATTACCTGAGTTTTCTGTATGTTTTCTGGCTTACTAGCTAGCTAACCTCAGATAGGGTGCCCAGCTTTACACATGAGAATGAGGATAATAGCCTTTTAGGTATGAGCAAACATGCGATGTCAGGATGGTCACAAAGTGCCTAGATGAGTAACCTGCCTATACTATTAAGGTTTGTGTATAAAGCTGCCTCTTGCCAGGCAGGCTAGCAGTGTAAATGTTGCATTTATAGGCCTTTTGAGATTTACTAAGTATCTTCCCCCCCCCCCCCAAGGGTTATCTCTTTCATACAGTTGCTGGGAAGCATCAGGATTTAAAATACATCTCTCCAGAAATTGTAAGTCGTCTTTTTGGATCCTGCCACCCATGGGGTATTTGCATCTAGCTATTCCTGGCAGCCCAAGTTGATTCTCCTGGGCTCTCTGTCCACAGATGGCATCTGTTTTAAACGGCAAGTTTGCCAGCCTCATTAAAGAATTTGTTATCATTGACTGCCGGTACCCATATGAATATGAGGGAGGCCACATCAAGGTATGTTCCTGAGACTTGCTGGTGAGCTCTGCTGTTGTGGGAGGCATAGAAGGAGCCCTGACACGATCTGTGATTTTATTTATTTATTTTTTATTTTTTATTTTTTTTTAAGATTTTATTTATTTATTTGAGAGACAACAAGAGTGAGAGAGAACAATAGACTCTCTGCTGAGCAGGGAGCCAGGTGCCCACCTCAGTCCCAGGACCTTGGGATCATGACCTGAGCTGAAGGCAGACACTTAAGACTGAGCCACCCAGGCGCCCCACGGATGCGATTTTTTAAAAGGTGGCAGGATGGTCAGGGTGTGTGGGTGGCTTAGTTGGTTAAGCGTCCTCCAACTCTTGATCCCAGCTCAGGTCTTGATCCTAGGGTTGTGAGTACAAGTCCTAAATAGGGCTCCACACTGGGCATGGATCCTACTTTAAAAATAAATAAAAAGCAAATTAAAGGGGGAGGGGTGTGACACCTGGCTGCTTATTAGCTCGCATGCTGGTTATGAGAATTTTTGAAAGAGGCCTCGATTCCTGGGGCAGTGAAGAACGTTGCCTGGCCTGCGCTGCTCACCGCACTGCCGCAGGTGCTCGCTGTCCTAGGCCTCACACCGGCACCATCCAGGGCGTTTCTAGGTGGTACCCACTGATTGCTAAGCCAGGCCTGAGCATTCCAAGGCTCCTGACCAGAAGCCAGTCTCTGGGGACGTATCTCCGTCTATGCCAGGCTTAGATACCTCTAAGTCTGTAATGGAATTAAGCCGCAGGGTGGAGGGCGGGTGTTGTGACACCGTTTCCCAGGAAGAAAGTGACTGGTTTTGCCAGCTTAATCTTTTAACCAATAAAATAGTGTTGAAATATATAGTAAAGGGATACATTCAGTACGTGGGTGTTTGCCACTGTCTCAGGGGCTTTCGAAAGTCCCAAATTCATAAATACCAGTCATGTCCACCATAGTCGTAACAGAATATGATGAGGTACCAATTAAAGATGACTCTCCCAGAATCCTTATTGGCAAGTGTGATGCATACGGGTGCCAAGAGTCTCTGGTTCCTCCACAGGGTGCGGTGAACTTGCACATGGAGGAGGAGGTCGAGGACTTCTTACTCAAGAAGCCCATTGTACCTACTGATGGCAAGCGCGTCATTGTCGTGTTCCATTGCGAGTTCTCTTCTGAGCGAGGTCCTCGCATGTGAGTGTTGCGTGCAGCTGGGCTCTGGGGCGCGGGCCTGCGGTAACTGGGGGGATGTGGCTGGGGATGGCTCACGCTCGGGGCAGACATCAGCACACTGAGCACCCTATCACACCTCCTGAGTCATTTCCATACCCTCGCCTGCACGCATGCAAATGTTGGCTTTGTGAAAGTTCAAATTCATGTGTAGCAGATGTTTTCCCAAATTCTTATCTATTAAACCGTCATTTGATTTGATGAACAGCTTCCTTGAGTGTGGCTTTTTATAGGTTTGACCTAGCAGTTTCTGTTGCCAAGGGCTTTGGGCCTTCTCCAGCCTGGCCCTGTCTTGGATGCTAGTGTGGTCTGTGCTGGGAGAACAGGGGGGCAGCTGGAGAGGGGGGTGGGGGCTGGGGCAGGGCGGGGTACAGCTTTGACCAGGGTGGGCCAAGGTAAACTTTTCATAGGCCCGCAGGCCTAGATTCTTACGCAGCCTTTTCATTTTGAACCAGTTCAAAAGTCAGGCCACATGGGGACACCTGGGGGGCGCAGTCTGTTAAAAGTCCCAACTCTTCACTTTGGCTCAAGTCATGGTCCCCAGCTTTGGGCTCTGTGCTCAGCAGGGAGTCTGCTTGAGATCACCTCCCTCCCTCTGCCACCACCCGGCCCCCAACACCACACATACACTCAAATCCCTTTTAAAAAAATTGTTTTTAATTTATTTATTTGAGAGAGCATGTGCAGGAGTGGGGAGGAGGCGGAGGGAGAAGCAAATTCCCTGCTGAGCAGGGAGCCCCACACAGAGCTTGATCCCAGAACCCTGAGATCATGACCTGAGTCGAAGGGAGATGCTTAACTAAGCTGCCCAGATGCCCCTATGTAAAAAAAGGGGGAGGGGCTTTGCCTGAATGTGCTTCACCTGACGTCCACAGCGCCAATGTTTTGCCTCACTGGCCCACATGCACCCGTAGCAGCAACTTGTCTCCCCACCTCCCTCCCAAGGACAGGGACTTGCCCTGAACTTGGCACAAAACTGTTCACAGGAAGAGGCAGGGTTTCAGCGAGGACTCCTGTTCCTTCACGAGTGGGATTACTCATTCGCTCTACAGGTCCTGTTGCCTCTCGCCTGCTAGAAGGTGTTCTGGGCACTGCAGGGAACAGCAAAACGTAGGAGAGCAAAAAATCTTGGCCTTCACGGAGCTTGCATTGCTGGGTGGGCAGAAAAGACAAACAATAAAAAATAAGTCAGCTACTCAGTGTGTTAGAAGGTGCTTCGGAGACAAATAAGATGAGAGGTAGGTGCCCCCAGCACGTTGGAGGAGCAGCAAGGCGGCAAGAGTGGCTGGAGTGGGGAGAGGGAGAGTGGCGGGGGTGGGGTGCCACGTTGTGGGCCCCTGGGAGGACTTCGGCTTTGGTATCAGGGATTGGGAGCTCAGGAGCCAAGGCCGGGTGAGGGCTGTTAGTAAGATCTTCAGAATTCAGTCCAAGCAGAGGGTGGAAGGAGGCGCCCTGAGGCAGGAGCCAGCTCAGCCTCTTTAAAAGCCACAGGAAGAAGGCAGCCGGCTTACACAAGAAGTAAGGGAGGGACCCCGGTCGTGGATGTGCCAGGAGCGGAGACTGCAGTGGGGAGCTGGCTCAGAAGCTGTCACTCCATGTGGGCAGCTCCATGTCACTCCGGTGGGGGCAGGGAGGATGCTGGGCAGGGGCCGGATGGTAGGGCTGTTTAACTCGGAGGAAGGACCATTGGGGAGAGACCGTGTCCCTCCCACCACCTGGGAACTCTTCCTAAAGATCACGTGTGACCAGGAACGCACAGCTCAACACTGTTTCCACGAATGACCGGGAGATTGGGAAGCTGTGTGAGGAGTGTTCGCACCGCCCCGCCGTGCTTGCTGCGTTGTGTCATGTTCTCTGCGTCACAAGGGCTCACCTCGCTTTGGCCTGCCTTCTTTGTAGGTGCCGATACGTGAGAGAGAGAGATCGGCTTGGTAACGAGTATCCCAAACTCCACTACCCTGAGCTGTATGTCCTGAAGGGCGGGTACAAGGAGTTCTTCCTGAAATGCCAGGTAAGGGGGAGTCTCTGGAGGGCGTAGTGCCCCCTCATCCAGCTTGGACGGTCCGATCTGTCTGGTGGGCATGGCTGTGTCTCATCTGGGGATCTGCCCTGCACGGAGAAGGGCCCTGGAACGTGCTGTCCAGTGGGCGCTGCTCCCAGCCTTGCATGTCGGGGGAGCCATGAGGCGGGGGCCCCTCATCTCATCCTCTCCCATCTGCAGTCTCACTGTGAGCCCCCCAGCTACCGCCCCATGCACCACGAGGACTTCAAAGAAGACCTAAAGAAGTTCCGCACCAAGAGCCGGACCTGGGCAGGGGAGAAGAGCAAAAGGGAGATGTACAGCCGTCTGAAGAAGCTGTGAGGGTGGCCACGCCGGACTACAGCAGCCTGAGCTTCCCTCCGTGCCTCCCCCCTTCCCTCTTCGCTGCAGAGAAACGTGAGCGAAGGGGCCAGCCGTGTGCGCAACGTGCGGAGAGAGGACCGGGGCTGGTTCGCCTTACCCCCGCCTCTGCGCTCCCGGGCTGGGAGCCTCTTCTGTCCCTGTAAGACGTTCTCCTTCTGCCTCGGGACTGGCTGCCAAGGCTGTCACTGGCCACAGCATCGTTCCGAGCACCGAGTCAGGAAGTTCTGACTTCTCATGCCCCGACCGCCCCTGGCCGTTGGACAGACCACCTGGGGCCTTATGGTCCACTGTCCTCTCCGGAGGGGAGGCGTCGGAGAGTGAGAGAGAAGTCACGGAAGCAGAAATGCTGCTGGCCAGATACCAAAGACAGCCTGGGAAGGGAACGGTCTCAGTGGGATAACCCGTATCTTTAATTTATTCAACTTCATCAATCACTTTAATTTTTTTTTTTTTTTTTTTATTCCTGGAGACTTTTATTTAACTGCTTCTTTAAGTCATAATACTGCCATTCTGGGTAGGGTTTTATCATCCCAGGGACTACCTCTGCTTTTTAGAAAAAAAAAAAAAAAAAAAGATGGGAGAGAAGAAGCAAACTTGTGTCGAGGGACAGACCTAGGAGCTCTGTCACCCCCAGGAGGCACTGTGGTACTGGGGCTGCTGCTATTTAAAGCCAAGGACTGAGGTACCAGTAGGAGTGGGCACTGGACTCAGACTTGACTACAGGACATAAGCTAAACCTCCCAGACCTACCTCGAAGGCCACTGAGATCAATGTGTGTGTGGGGGGGTGACCCTGCTCTTGCCCACCCCGGTTCCCTGTGACGCTGGCTGGTACAGGAGTCCCAGTCAGGAAAGCACTTCAGGCAGCTTCCATTGGGCCACCCCCAGGTCATTGTTGGAATGTGGTAGTGTAGGTGTCCTAGAGTGGGGGGGGGCAGCGCGGGGGGGCTCTGAGGGATAGGGGAGAAGAGTGTACGCTGAGTGTCTTCTGTTACTCTGATACTCTTGAATAGCTTTTGATTTTCTAAAAATAGTCATTGTATGAGTCAGGGAGTATTAAATCAGTGTTGGCTGGGCCACCCAAGGGTGAAGAGAGGGACTGGAAGTCCTGGGCGTTAGGAGAGGGGCATGGGTGCATACAGATGACAATACCGAATGTGGTTCTCAGGAGGCAGTGTGGTGGATTTTGAAGGTAAAACTTTCTGAGTTTATCATGTTTGAATTTGAGGGACAGGGAGTGATGGATCGTCACTGGTTGCCCCCTCATCTAGCCCTGTGGAAATGGGGGTCTCAAAGGAGCAGTCTCAAGTCAGCTGGGGCTGACTTGGTTGATTCTGGACAGGCCATTTGGTTCCTGCTCATCCCCCTCCACAGGCACCAGCCTCGTCGCCATCTTTGTTCCACTGGGGTGTAGCCAACTTTTTCTTAAACACAAGAGCCAGTCTCCCCTTTAACTTCCCTTCCTCCTCAGGAGGTAGGGAGGGAAGCAGTGGTACAGGAGATGGTTTGTTGCTGTTGTTATGGGTTTGAGTTGTATTTGGCTATAAAACAATCTTGTTAGAAAAAAGTCAGTGGGGGAGGAGGGGAACAGGAAGAAAAAGAAAGACCTCTTCCCCCTCTCACCACATATTGAGACACTTCTCAATTGGTCTCTAATCTTGTTGGTAGGGATTCTGTTGGTTGGATGCCTGGAAAGGGAGGTGGGATGGCCTTCGGACTGTACCAGCTTAGCTCGCATGGGTGACCAATTGTTGCAGGCTCTGAAAATAAAAACAATCCTGAACCCATACTCTCTGCCTAGTTCTTGATGGATTTAAGAGAATTGTGTTTCCCTTTAAGGTTCTGGGACCCTACTTGACTAAAAGCATTGGTGTGGGAGTGGGCGCGGCTATTTCCTCGAGGCCAAAGGGCTCCTATGTAGCATGGTCCCAGGGATGGCCGGAATAACTGCCAGTTACTACCCTGACTCCAAAAACTTAGCATTCAGATTGATTCGCAAGATGAAATAGGGATATCAAAAGCTTACCCGAACCGGGCTCCTGGGTGGCTCAGTCGGTTAGGTGTCTGCCTTCAGCTCAGGTCATGATCCTGGGGTCCTGGGATCAAGCCCCACATTGGGCTCCCTGCTTGAAAGGAAGCCTGCTTCTCCCTTTCCCACTCCTCCTGCTTGTGTTCGGTCTCTCACTGTCTCTCTGTCAAAAAAATAAAACCTTAAAAAAAAAACAAAAACTTTAATATTTGTTTCCAGACTTTACTACTTTCCTTGAACCCATCTTCTTACCCCAAATTATTTGAGAGGACTGTATCTTTCTAGTTCACGTACGAAAACTTTATCCCAAGTATCCATTCTTATAATAAGGATTTGATTCACGTGTCATGTGAGTGTATATGATCTTGACAAGAAATAGGCTTTTTTAAATCATGGAGAACTCCAAAAAGAATAATGAACCACTTTTCTGCCCATTAGAAAGCTTTCACAACATCTACTCAGAGCCAGTCTTCTCTTCCTCACTCCTCCCTGACTTTGCTCTTTAAATTTACTCCGAGCAAGTAACACTTCTCTGGATTATTGCAAAAGCCCACTGGCTTTTTGGCTTAGCCTATTGTTGCCATAATCAACTTGCTAAATGTCTAATTAGGTCAGCCCATTCTCACTGGAGAGTTTAATGGCTCCTTGTTGCCTATAAAATTAAACTTGAACTCTAGCCCATGTGCTAAGACACAAAGCCAGCCTTACCCTATGTTCATCTTATGCTCCAATAACAGGCAGAGTTCTGTTTCTAGAATGTATCCTGCCCTTGGAGCCTTGCTTGGAAATTTGGTTGAGAGCTAGTTCCCCTGAGAATCTTAAGACAGCTCACTAAAAAAGATTAGGGGCAACTGTTGTATGCAAGACATAATCCCTTGGTTTCAGTAAAAAAAATGTTTAAGTTCAGGGGTACCTGGCTGGCTCAGTCGGTAGAGCATATGACTGGCGCTTGGGGTTTGTGGATTAGAGCTTAATGGTCAACTGTCCAGTCCCACCCATTCCCCCCAAGGTAACTGCTGCCATTGGCAGTGTGATTGCTTCCTAAGCAACCAGATACAGAACTGCTTTTCATGTTGTAAAACTGCATAAATGTCTCCATTTTGTGCACCTTCTGCATCTCACTTCTTTTCTTAAGATTTTATGTATTTGAGAGAGAGTGCATGCACGTGGGGAGGGGCAGAGAGGCAGGGAGAGAGAATCCCAAGCTGACTCCTTGCTGAGCGCCGAGCCCGATGCAAGGCTTGATCCCACAATTCTGAGATCACTACCAGAGCCCAAACCAAGAGCTGGATGCACGCAACTGAATGAGCCACCTAGGTGACCTTCACTTTGGTATTTATGACCCTGTTTCTCACACCAAACCACATAAGGCCACTTGACTCCAGGAAGAGCAAAGCATGAGCCAGCGATGACTCAAGGGCCACACCTCTCCAGCCAAGGAATCTTCAGTAAGTCACTTTTCACTCCCTGGTGCCTTTCCTCACAAGTAACAAAGGGCATTTGAAGTTGATGTCGTGCTGTAGCTACCCCTGTCCCAACATTCCGTAACTCAGGTGTTTGGATGCCCCAGTACCCACTTCAGATCTACTGGGAAGAAGGGCAGCTGTGGAAGAAGATCTGTTTCTTTCACGTGCTCCTTCAACAGACATTTCAGCTGTGCTAGGTAGACCCCCAGGATGAGGCGATGTGTAACAGGCAGGCTCTTCTCAAGGAGTTCACCAACTAGTGGGAGAAAAAGTTCCTTCAAGACCAGGAACACATGGGAGTAACACTTCCGGGGAGGAGAAGCTGGGATCGAGACAGGTGTAGAGCTAATAGTGCTCAAGAGGGACAGAAGGAAGCATACCACCCAAAAGGCGAAGCCTGAGGAACTGGGCAGATCATTGGCACTTAGAGCAAAAAATATAAGAGGAAAGGAAGTGTCTGCCTTGACGAACTTGAAAAGCCGCTGGCCTAGATTCTTCATAAATGTCAGTGTCACACAGGGCAGAGGGGCTGAGGAACTGTTCCAGATTAAAGGAGACTCAAGAGACCCAACTTAAAAAGGGCGGGGGGGGGGGCAATCTGGGTGGCTCAGTCACTCAAGCGCCAGACTCTCGATTTTGGCTCAGATCATGATTTCAGGGTCCTGAGATCAAGCCCAGTGTCAGGCCCCTCACTGGGTATAGAGCCTGCTCAAAATTCACCCCTCCACATCCAGGCTCTCGCTCTCTCTCTTTAAAAAAAATAAATAAAATAAAAAAGTAAAGGACTGTGATATAATTTACTTCCAAGTGGTTTAATAATAATAACAAAAAGATGTAAATGTGTGTGTGTAAAAGATACAGAGGAGAGAAAGCAAATTGGACAAGGGTGAGGGATACCTGGGTGGCTCAGTTCATTAAGCAGCTGCCTTTGGCTTAGGTGGTGGTCCCAGGGTCCTGGGATTGGGTCCTGCATCCCGCTCCTTGCTCACCAGGGTCTGCTTCTTTCTCTGCCTCTGCCTGTGCCTGTCCTCTCTCTGCTTGTGCTCTCTCTCAGACAAACAAGTAAAATCTTAAAAAGGGGGGGGAGGGGACAAGTGTGGAAAATCAATGGCTTTTTCTTTTTTTAAGTAAACTCTAGGCCCAGCCGTGGGGCTGGAGCTCACAACCTGGAGATCAAGAGTTTTGTGCTCTACCAGCTGACCCAGCTAGGTTCCCCCCAAATCAGTGACTCTTGATAAACGGTCTAAGGGAGTTCTTTGTACTATTTTTGCAACTTTTCTGTAAGTATGAAATTATTTCAAAAGAAGTTTAAGAGGTGAGGACTTGCCGGTTAGGCTCCTGTATGGACAGGGCGGGTGTGGGCAGCCGTCTGTCTGTCCAGAAGCCTGGGTGGTCGGGGGATGAACGTGAGGAACGGTCTTGGAGAAATATCCAGGGTGGTGGCAGCAACTTGTCCCAAGCACCCTAATGGCATTGGTGTACGCGAGAGGTCCCCTGCGGGGACTGGGGGGAGGAGAGGGAGGGGCGCCGAGGGCCCCACGGAAGCAGTGAGAGCCCGGAGGGCAGGATGGCAGTGACAGGGACAGGGACGGGACGGGGAAGGGAGGGGAGTGGAGCCACGGGCCGTTCCACAGGAAGGCCCGAGAGATAAGGGAAAGTTCTGCTGGCTGGGGCTGCAACGCGCCCCACGACCTTGGTTGAACAAAGGCTTCCCACACTGGGGTGGAGGCGGAGGAGCGCCTAGGAGGGACGCAGAAACAGCGTCACCGGCGAGCGGGGGCATCCCGGGCTGTTCTCAGCGTCCGTGTGACTGTGACCTAGCGGGAGGGTTGGAAGTCCGGATGACCTTGATGATAATAACCTTTGAAGACCTTGGCCACTCAGATTTGCAAGTGATCATGCCTGCAGGTCGTGTCAAGTTCGGCCTAGGGCTCCCTGCTTGCAAACTC